CGGACAATTTAGCTATTCTATTTGTCTTCACACTACCAAGATACTACACTGGAAAGTTCAACCACAAAATAACTCTGTTCCTTGTTACCGGGATCTCGCTAATCACCCCACGACATCAGCATCCATATAAGTGCACATAAAAGAGACTGTTCATGACGTTGCAACATTAAATCCGTTTAATGTTTACTGCTTGGCATTTTAGTCTGTTGGGTCATGATTATTTATTAATTCAGTAACTGTGAGTACTCTTAGCTCGATACTGTGAGTACTCTTAGCTCGATACTGTGTGTACTCTTAGCTCGATACTGTGAGTACTCTTAGCTCGGTACTGTGTGTACTCTTAGCTCGATACTGTGAGTACTCTTAGCTCGGTACTGTGTTTACTCTTAGCTCGATACTGTGAGTACTCTTAGCTCGATACTGTGTGTCTTTTGTCTTTTATTTGTTTTGTTTTTTCTGTTGTGTCAACTAATTATTACATTTTGTTCTGATGATGTGATGTTACGTTACTGTCCCAGATGGTTTTATTTTGTTTGTTTTTTTGTTTGTTTTGGTTTTTTTTGGGGGGAGGGGGGGTCTGTTCCCAACCCCGCCAAATTCCGTTTATAATTGTCATAAGTCGCCAGCCAAACATCAACAAATGCTAATCAGGAATTTTAACCTCAGGTCTTACCAACATATCTTGTGCTACATTAAAATTAATAAAACACGACAATGCTAATAAAGAAGTCAAATCATAAGTCTCTGTTGCCATAGAAATTAAATCACAAGTCTCTGTTACTATAGAAACTAAATTTCAAGTCTCTGTTACCACAGAAATTAAATCATAAGTCTCTGTTACCATAGAAGTTAAATCATAAGTCTCTGTTACCATAGAAGTTAAATCATAAGTCTCAGTTACCATAGAAGTTAAATCACAAGTCTCAGTTACCATAGAAGTTAAATCACAAGTCTCTGTTACCATAGAAATTAAATCACAAGTCTCTGTTACCATAGAAATCAAATCACAAGTCTCTTTACCATAGAAATTAAATCACAAGTCTCTGTTACCATAGAAATTAAATAACACCTCATTGTTACACTGTAAGGTAAACCACACGCTTCTGCTGCACCGAACGTTGTACCCGACGTCTCTGTTATGCCGACTGTTAAAACAACGTGTCACTACCAGCTAATCCATGCATCTCCATTTCACCGGAAGTTAAATATAGCAAGTTTCTTTTGCACCAGAAAGTAGAGTCATTAGGGTTTTTTTAAATTCAGAAATTGAAGGCGGCACGTGTATTTGATTTCTTTTAAGTTTGTAAATGTACCATACATAAAACCATAGAAACAGTTTTAAAATGATTTTACAAGTGGTTACCTTTCTTATAGGCTAGAATCTTTTTTTAAAGACTGTGAATTAAATACCAAAGTTTTGCCCCGTTACGACAATGCTTTGAAAATATTTTTTAAATACGTTATTCCTGGAAAAAACTGTTTTTATGTGTGTGTATCTATTTGGGATTCATCGCCCTTAAATATATTGGGTCCCATGACTTTTCTTGGTCAAGTTTTAGGTTTTTAACACAATACACAGCTATTCCGTAAGAAATTTATCACAATTATTGTCAAAAAAAAACAGCAATCAAAAATAACAGACTTATAATTTGGTACACTAGACGCACGTTTCGTCTACATAAGACTTTTCAGTGGCGCTAGAAACAAATCAATTGAAAGCTAAATCAAAAACGAAGTTGAAAAGCATTAAAAACCGAAAATTCCGAAAAGTTGTGCCAAATACGGCTATGACAGTCTTTGCTTGGGAGTAGAAAACCCTCAGTGTTTCGAATAATTTAGCATTAAGTAAACAGAAAATTTACAAAAAATGAGCATATCAATGATATTCCATGTCAAGAAAAAATGATGACTACAGTAATGGGCTGGTGATAACCTCCGGTGACGAAACACCATCAGCAATGGTATCAACACAGTGGTTGTAAAAATCGCAAAAGATACCAGGATTGCACCTATTTAGTATGAAGCATAGTACGCTAATTGTGCTTCGGTCAACGCTTTAACACCAAAATAAAATTACGAAAGAAGCTTTCAATTCTTGAATATTATATTAAAAAGAACTTGCACCTGCGACAAAAATCCTAATGACATATCCCCGATTATCTTACTTTATAGAAACATTAATCACAGATGATAAGGCTGACAATATGATTATTTATATCGGATTTGTGGTTAAATCCTTGGACTTTTTAATAAGCCTTTATACTGCAAATAGAAAAATGGTCAACAATGAAGTCAAATTAAGTATGACTAATACACCCTTCAATATTATTAATAAGTTTCCAATAAAGTGCGAACTACCGGTAATCACAGATGGTAGTTTTAATTGAAGTAGACTTAGTGGATTACCTTGCATAACACTGTTGCTGAGATTGTAATAGTTAGAGATATTATTTCAGGCATTTTGTTTTATCTAATTATGATTAATAAGCAAATATACGTTACAGGAACCATACTTGGAATTATAAATATTTTAAGATGTTTATCATTGGTCAATTTCCTTTCTATTGATTGATTGATTGATTGATTTGAGTGCAAAAATGGCGAAAATTATTTAGTATATTAGTTTGTTTTCGATATCAGAAAAGTATGAACTGTAAAATAATATGTTAATTCTTACATTTGCCATGCATTACATTTATTGCGTATATAAATAAATTTACAATTTAACCATCTATCTCTCTCTGTTTCTCTCTTAATTCAGATTTGTACCCATAATCATATTTGCGGACTGTAAAACTTAATCATGACTATTTGTCAAAATATTTTCGCTCGTTTTCATACCAATGTTGCATGGACCAGTCACAGGAAAAGGCTTCCGTTAAATAGTTTAACTATAAGAAGGAAATATTGGTGTATATCTGAAGGATTAAAGTTCAAACATACAAAGAATTAAAAGAATACCATACAACCGTCCATTGCGATTAACAAAATCATAAACAATTACGACTGCTGACACATACAACCGTCAACAACGATTAAAAGGAACATAAACAATCTCAACTGACGCAATATACTTAGAATTAAAAAGATTAATTACGACAAAGACATAGTATCGAAGAGCTGGTCAAATAATTTTAATAGGGGGATATGCTTTACAATAATGTCATGATAATGGTTCAAGAATTCACTACAGGAAGTTTCATTGTGATATTTGTCACACTTCTAAATTATTCGCCTTTGATGTTTTCTTTTAAAATATACTTGGTTTTAAGTAGATGATTTTTTTTAGAAAAGAATAAATGTGTTGGTTATTAGCTTATATCTTTCTAGGAAAACAACGCCATGTCTCGAAAAAAGAGAGAAAAGATTCGTGGCAATCCAAAATCATAATTCAAACATGTAAAAACAGACAGCGCTATGGCTTGTTAAACGACAAAAAGACACACAACAATGACAACACATTTTGAAATACTAAGGCTTTTCTACCTCAGGAATAGATTACCTTAGCTGTATCTGGCAAAACTTTTAGGAATTTTTGGTCCTCAATGCTCTGCAACTTCGTACTTTATTTGGCCTTTTTAACTTTTTTTGATTCAAGCGTCACTGATGAGTCTTTTGTAGACGAAACGCGCGTATGACGCAAATACAAAATTTCAATCCTAGTGTCTATGATGAGTTTATTTACAAGTTTAACATTTCTTCACAGTAGTATAAATAGCGTCAACATAAACAATAATTGGTAATCGGGTCTCGAATACCCATACTGTAATTTAATATCTTCCTTCTGTCTGCTCCCAATTCTCAGGGGCGGATCCAGGATTTTAGGTTAGGGGGGCGCAAACTTAAATCTTTGGAATATCGAAATATTCTTCTTTTAAGCTGAGGACAACCTATGCTTTGCAAATTTTAGGGGGCGCCCGCCCGCCACACCCCGCCTGAATCCGCCCCTGATTCTATATATCATTCTAGCCAATCGAAATTTAGCCACATCATACGGTAACATATCAAAACCGATATTTGTAATAATTTCAAAATGGCGTGAATATCGAATGGAACTAATAGACTCGCATGAACCGTGAAGCGAAGCAAATGGTAAACTATAGATTGAGTCACACGATCCCAAATAACACCCGTGGGTGCACTCAGGTCCTTAGGAAGATTAAGTTTAAAACTTCAATTTGATTTAGTGGTAAACTTTTCTATTTTTTAACTTTAGCATATCGATGATAGCTTTGACTTGTTTGCCTGTATATAATATGATATGCCTTTTGACTGAGAAGTGAGGATATAAAAAGAATTCACGAATAATACGCAAGAAAACTCTCCTGTGGTCGCTCCACAAAATCAGGGATAAACTCAGCGGTTCCGGAAATAGAACCAGTTCCAGCATAATGAGTTGGGTTTTTTTCTTTAAATTTCATTCACTTTTGTTTCAAGTGTATTGTATAGCATATACTTATTGTAATGATAAAAAAAATGAAAACAACACTTTATAAATTAATTGCGTTCGAAGCGCTTATCTAGATTTTGCTTCACCAGGAACGCTCAAAGCCAAATATTTGATTAACTGGAATCCGCTTGTATTTCACTACACTCAAACGAACAAAGTTGAGTAGTCAGACGAAAACCAGCTTGAATATTTGAAAGCCAAGGATGTATAAGATCTGGAACAGTTGAAGGGCTATCTTACCAAAAGGGACATACAAATAATAGTATTTGGAAAAGACCTTATAAAACCCTGAACGTTTGATCCGTCCAATGGCGTTCATATTGACTTGGTGATGTTCTCTGTGTAAGAAATTTGTTTGATAATAACATTTGTTTATGCTTTTGACACTTGCCAAGTTTCGTAAGACAAGGAAAAGTCTTGTGTATTTTTTTCCTTGCAAGTACTTTTCATGATTTATTTACTTTGGTTCAGGTTTACATCAAAGTTCTTATATCTTGTACTACACACATATCAGCGCCATTTTCTAGTTTGTGGCTATTTAAAAAAACAATTATTAAGGGTTTTCTATCATTTTATTCAAAAATATATTTCTCAAAAATAATTTACATCACAACTTTTACACAAATAATTCTAAATCCCTAGAAATCATGGACGGATTGATAAGGGAACAGATCTGTCATCAGATCATACAATGTTACATACTATATAATTTGTTAAATAAATATACGCAGAAGAATACTGACAGAAAAGACAACATTTAACATGCACATATATCGTATCGCTTTGTTACCATAGCAACAACATATATAATAGAGTATCTTATTGCTACCATAACAACACCATATAAAAAAATAGTATCGTTTTGTTACCATAACAACACCATATAAAAATATAGTATCGTATTGTTACCATAACAACACCATATAAAAATATAGTATCGTATTGTTACCATAACAACACCATATAAAAATATAGTATCGTATTGTTACCATAACAAAACGACTAAATAAAACTGCTTTATAATGAATTGGAATGATATGGGTAAACGTCAAAGATTTTTAATGATTTCATAAAAATAAATATAGTTTTTAAACTACAAGAACAAAAGTATGATATGGGGTGTTTGTAAATTAGAAATCAACTACAAAAATAACCAAAAGACATATTCAAGTCAACATAAAGTTTGTTTAAATACTTTGATGACTATTTCAAAAAATATTTTTGTAACTTATCAAAAAAGGAAAAAGGAAAAGTTAATGTTTTCACTTGGAATAAATGTGAACAGACCGGAAGTGCAGTAAGATTTTCACTGAATGAACCGGAAGTGCAAGTAGGCTATCTCTGAATAAACCGGAAGTGCAGTATCAATGTTGTCTTATCTGCCACGATAGTGTAAGAAATAGTGTTCTATTCTAATGTAAAAGTGTGAATTAATAAATAAGTATAAATTAATCTATAAATAATTAAATAAACTCTATCAAGTATCACTGTTTGTCAATATCATCACACAACACAATACAATGCAGGCAAAGTAAATCACCTTAATATGTCACCATGTCAAACAACATTTAATGTGTCAACATGTCAAAACTTGAATTTAATATGTCACTATGTTAAAATTAAAATTAAATATGTCGCAATGGCAACGATAAAATTTAATATGTTATAATGTCAAAACTAAAATTTAATATGTCGACTCGCCATGTCAAACTTTAATTTAATGTGTCACAATATCAAACTTAGAATCAATAAGTCACAATGTCAAAATTACAAACTCTTTGATGCGGTTTTTATTTCGTTCCCTGAATCAACATAAAATGACAAGCATAAGTAACTACTTTTAAAATAAAAGAGCTAACAATGCTTTAATACAATGCTTATCTGTACTTGCCTTATCTTATATGCTCACGGTGAAAAAATCAAGGATGTTTTACTTTGCCTATTGTATCAAATCACACCAAACCACAACAAGCTCACAGCAAAGAAGTAAAATACACAGAGTTCTCTAACGTTATAAATAGTGAATTTAATGAACAATATAGTAAGAAATGTTAGTGCTCTTCCACACATTCTAACCATGGGGTTTAACCTAAACGTTTATCCATCATGAAGTAACTAGGTGATCACGTGATATACTTATATGAATGAAATCTAATACAGATATATGCTAATGAACATGTTTGCATGGCAACACTTTTTCACTCTATGTTGAGTCAAACTCGTGAAAATAAATTAACATGTATTTTTTTTTTCGTTCAAATTTTGAGTTAAACTCTGTTGATGTATCATGAATGAAATCGTAAACAAGGACGGTCGTCTATCATTATAAATAAAACAATGTTTGAACACATATAATTGCCAAGCCACAGAATGATTATAAATTTCTGACTTATATCGGTCAAATTTAATGAATTGTAATAAACATGAGAACAGACGAGAACACATTTCTTTTTTTTATTTGCTGATAAAATAAAATGAAGAGTTGAACAATATTTGAAAAAAAATAATTTAAACACTAAAAGAAATTAAATAAACCAGCCGAACGAATGAAGGATATCTTCAACAATTTGAAAAGTTAATTTAATCAAACTTCATACTTTTATAAATAGTGAATTTAATGAACAATATAGTAAGAAATGTTAGTGCTCTTCCACACAAATAAACCATGGAGTTTAACCTAAACTTTTATCCATCATGAAGTAATATTCATATAAGTAGATAATGATAGATGCATTTGAACAGTTAATTTCATCAAACTTTATACCTTTATTTTCATAAACATTCTATGGCTATTAAAATTCTCTTTGAAACATTTTTATCTGAACACATTGTATAAAGAACACTTTCAAATAAATATTTAAAAAACACAATAAAATATATATCACTAAAGGGTCACTTACAGACAGTTTAAATAAAGCACTGAAAGATCATTATCTGAATAAATAAAATGCACTTTTAACTTGTTCGTTTATTATTTTCTGTTGTTTGTAATTGGTGATTTTATATTTTACTTGTTGGTTAAAAAAAAAAGAATCACGTGGTTCGAATAGCAACTTCCGGGTACGGATTAGAGAAATACGCGACGTTAAGAACACAGCAGCGTTACAGATAATGATCTTTTAGTTACGATTTTAAACTTTGTATAATAAAAGATACATTGTTTTTCTTTCTTATAGTGACCTTTGTGAAAAAGTACAAATGGACGGCTGTTTGATATTTTCTTCGGAAGGCATCGTCTGTTTTCTTTCAAAGATAATTCAGTGAAAAACACTGATAATGTTGTTTCTAAAAGAACAACTGAAGGCTGTGTGATGTTAAAACATGATTTTTTTGTATCACAGTTTGCTGTGTTATATAATGTTCTCTCCCTTTTTTAGACACGAGACCTTCGTCCGTCTGCCACCTGGTGGCATTTAAATACAATAATAAATAATATGCTTTTACAAAAACCATCGTAAAAATAAAACCCCAGAGATCTACTCATTGTTGTGAGGGGTAGTTTGATTTATAAATAAATAAATAACATAACAATAAATATAATTCAACAATAAATAAATATGTAATAAAAAAAACATATATTACGTCAAACCGACCAAAGAGCGGTGTTCACAAAACTCTTTCATGTTGTTTAGTACTGTTAATGAGTCTTTAAGTATCTGATTTGTTTCAGTTAATTCTTTGCGGAACTGTGCAAATCCGTCGGCAGATGTGTCGTGTCTGCGGATGTTTTTGTAAGCATTTTCGGCCATTTGTAAAAACTGTCTCTCCATGATTGCGCATGAGCAATTTTCTGGTCTGGTTTCCAGTTCCGATCGACGAAGTTGTTGGTTGAGAACTGTAACATCTGTTTCTAGTTGTTTCAGATAATTCATGTTCATCTGTCGTTTCAGTTCTGAAATTAAATTAGAAACAATAATCAGACTGTTTGGATTTTATATTTGTATTAATAATTATATTTCTGTATCTGAAATTAAAAAGTTCTAACATTATATACATGTTATGTTAACCGTTATACCATGCACTGTAAGCTTAAAAACGTTTTTTTGGAAAATTGAACTACAAAGGTACAAAATCATGTGTACATGATGACGTATTGTGAAATTGTATATACGCAAATTGAAAACCATCGGTCTTGTATACATACACTGACGTTATTCTCAATGTGTATCTTTCATGATTTTGTTGAAATAGTTAACTATCTTTAAACCCTTACCTGATCGTCTTTTCTTGGCAGACCTGTCTTCATAATCACAATCACAATCAGACCTTTCAGACGTTTTTCTTTTTCGTTTGGCTAATTGGTCGAGGATTTGAGACAACAGTGCAGTAGATTCGGGATCCCTCAGACGCTCTGCTAAAACATCTGCTTCTTCATAATCAAAACGCTGATTCGATGTTGACGCTAGCCTCGGGGAATACTGTTCTCGGTGACAATACATATCTGAATGGAAATAAAAGCATTTTTTATAAACAATTAATTTATATTTACTAGCTGCATGACTTCTTTGAGCTGTATGTACATTTCATAATAAAATTCGCTCATACAATATTGCGAAACAGTCTCTGAATAAAGAAAGGCAATTGATAAAAATACTTTCACACAACTTTCAGCCATTACGTATTAAGGTGGCGTTAAGAGGCCAACAATCAATCAATGAACTATCTAAAAATGTTATCGTCTAGTTTTGGCCTTACCTTCTTGTCGGCGGGGATGGCTTTCAAAAACAAGTTGTTTTCTAACTCCTCGTCTTTCATCAACATAGTCAGCGGGAAAGTCTGGTATTCTTCTTACAGGTGAAGATCGATTCACTACTTCTCTTGCATAGTAACCCGGGGATAATTGATCCGAATTTGATTCAGTTTTATGTGAACTTCCTGTCATTGATCTTCCAGGTAACTGAGAGTCTTGGGATCCAGAAACTTGTTTTACTGGTGTTTTCTCCAAAAATTCATGATGTTCCAATCGATTTCGAGGAGATATGCATCGTTTCTGTGAAGTTCTTTCTAATCTGGGAGATTGTAAATACCTTTCCATTCTCGGCGATGGTGACGGACAGACAAAGCATGATTCCGGAGACCGGTTGAGCACCTGCAACGGAACAAAATCAAAGAGTCATAACAATGTTTTATTGGTAATACCTATCGAATATCAATACCGAACTTTATTAAACACCTGTATTGATTAATTCTTTACGGCTTTTAACACAGGCAATTATCACTTCTGTTGACAATTTTCTTTCCACAAACGAGGCTCAAAAGGTTGATTTTCATCTCATGTTTATATACAACAGGAAAACTTTATCGCTTTCTCTTTAACAATAAAACTTGCACATCATGCAGAGTCATAAATGTAGTCAGAAAACTTTAATTTTATTTTATATTTTCCAATAATTTCATTTGATTCAGAAAGTTCTTCATATGAACTATAATTTCTTTTCTTATCAGGCCTCAAACAGAATTCAAATTAGGCGATTTATTAACATTTGTTTGGAGTATTGAACATTGATCTGTTGTTACAGAATTGTGAAAGTGATAATTGTCATTATCAACAGAAATAATAGTCTGACAAAATTCTTTTGTAGTGTTAATTAATCAAGTAATCGTTCTGCCAATACCGTGGTTAAACATTTATAGTGAAAAAATCGGAACCTTGTAATAACCTGATAAAATGTACTGTTGTATCAAAGCATTGAAACACAGATAAACATGTCAAAAGCTTTTGTACTTTATTGCAAAACAGACTGCATGTTCTCTCCCGGAGCCTTTTTAAGCTTACTTAACGGTATATGCTTTGCTCATTGTTGAAGGCCTGATCTATAATTGTTAAAATTCTTGTCCGTTGAACTGTTTTAAATAGTTGTCGCCATTAGCATCATACTAAACGGTCGTAGTTTATATCCATATTTTACTTACCGGATATCGGTCTCTGTCAGAAAAGGAACATGTTGATGATCTCGAAGACGTGTCCGGGGAGACTGGTGGGGTTCTGGGTTTCAATCTCTCCGCCATCATCCAATCAGAATTGTCTCCAAACAACTGACAATGGTCGGTTTCCGAGTACGGTGAATGTCCTGCTCTCTCCAGATGTTTCCTGGGTGATTTAAGTCCATTATTTTCACTAAAGTCCTGAAACGAGGGTGGATATTTGAAAACTAAATCGTCTGATAACTTTGATCTTGGCGTTGACGGTGAACTTGAAACTCTTGACCTCGGAGTTGACGGCAGGTCACATAATCTACTTCTAAAACAATCTTCGACTTCTGCATCATCTTTTCTTTCTTCCTGAATTGACCTGTAGTCTTTAAGTTTTTCTAAAATATCTTTTGGTAGTGTATCTAACGATACCAGTAGAGAGTTGGATTTCTTTTCCACGTACTGCATCCTTTTCTTATCATCTACGACAGTTTAAACTGCAATACAAAAAAAAGAACACTAATTAATATCGCTTTATATTATAACAATCACTTCTAAAAATAAACTTTGCCACTGGACGTTAAGCAACCAACAATCAATCAATCTAAAAATAAAGAGAGTTGACCAAAATAATATAAATTTATCTTCTTTGTATAGACTAGCTATTTACCTCTTTAATAAATAAATGCATCCATTTTCCTTGTACTCGTTTAAACGGATGTCATCGTAATGTCTCATTTCAATGTCTTAATTATAATAAGATACTTTAAACAGGTGCCCTTTTTCAATTTATTTTTAACGTTCCAGAGGAATTCATCTCCACAACCGTTATTGTCCAGGGATTATACATGACTAATGGATTCAGCAAAACGTTTAAGATATTTACCTGAGTCGGGTCTATGTCGGTCTGTCGAACACCGTTATACCTATAACTTATAGATTATTGAATTTCATGTCTCTTTTATGTACCGTCACCTTTATAACGGTAACAATGAGTACGAAGGTAAATCTTAATCACTTAAATGCTTGGACATAATCACTTAACTGTTTGGACAGGTGAGAGGCTGCTTACCTTTGTTTCAGATCGAGATAATTGCTCATGATGAGATTTTATCCCCAGATTAAAATTCTCTCATTTTACAATCTTGTCATTAAGCAGATAGATCTATAAATTATGCAAGAAACTTTTAATGAAATGGTTTAAATTCTTTGAACATACAAAATTTTTAATATACATTAAGCTCCTGATCAATATTTATAAACATTCCCCTATCAATAGTAGACAAAATCGGGTTTAAAATAATGAAACATGAACCGATATCTATTCTAGTATCTCTAAATAACAAATCGTCTTATCGTTTCTTTTCGATCCTCTTTGAAGAATTCTTTTGAAATAAATATCTCCTAATTATATTATATATAAAGCAAGGGGGTCACTAATGCATCGAGAAAAGAAACTTGCAATTTTACAAAAACATCTATTATTTAACCGAACATTTAACTATGAACGTAGTATGACAGATTTATAACATCACTGGCTACTGGGGTAATGAAACCCACGATAATGTGTACTCAACAGTGGCATTGACCCAGTTACAGCAATAGCGATTATTCCTCGCGGATGAATTAAATACACTTTCAATGTCTCTTTATTCAAATTATTTCAGGTTGATTGCATTGTAGTAGAGGATTTTTTTTTTATTTTTCAATTTTATAAAAAAAATGCAAAAAACCTTCCAATTTCTCACTGTATTCATTCATATTCTCACATTAAGATATCTATTAATCAATGCATTCATGTGTGCATTAATGACTGCACACGACACACAGCAGAGTGCATGTTGTCAGGCAATGTATTACATTTATTTTGACATTCTTATAAACTTCAACATCAAGTACAATAAGTGCTGATAACATCAAGATAATATAAGATTCAGGATTATGCAGATTAATCAAATCCTTTTTCCATAAATTATTCGATGTTTGATAAACATGATTTATTTTTGGATAAGCAATCGGTATTTTTATCAGTGCTCAAATAGCGTGTCCTTTATCACACGAATTCATTAAACCAGGACAAAAACTCCACAAAATATACCAATAAACTGCAACAATTGTATCTATTTCTTTTCAAAGAGCATTGATATGTATTTCTTTATCGTTTCTGGGGTCAGAGGTCGGATACCTTTAACGGTTCTAATTAAATAAAGTGGAACTAATAGACAGCCTTGTTGTATAGCATCAACAACAAAGAACAATAGAAAATGTGATGTTCACCGAGTATTAGTGTCGAGGTTGGGTATTGTGTTACATTGTAATCAATGTTATGCACATCATTCTATTGTATCTGATGATGTTTTACAAACAAATATGTAAAAAGTGCTGAGAATATTTAACAAATATAGTTTCCCAGGAGTTTTTATTCTGTGATTTGAATACACTTTACAAGTTGTATACTAAAATGTTTTGTTAGATCATCTGGGTGTACTTTTAATTAGATGTCGTACAAAATGACTGGAATTTTTCCCATGTTTGTTTACCAATGGAATTCTTTATTCTAAATAATGAACTAATTTACATGCTTATTATGGCACGTTTTATGAAAATAAGGGGATGTTAGGTCTAACCTGAATGAGACCGCAGCCCAACATTTAAAAAAAATCAAAATACAAATGCATAACTTGGCCAATCTTTCTAACTCATTTGAGATAGAATAGGATATTTTTATATAAGTACATTTAATTTCAAATATATTCATAACTTATTTTCACATTTAAAAATAGTCCTTTTTCAGATATTGTTGAAATTTCTTATTCATACCATTTCTAAAGCCTTTTATCTAATGTACATTTAAATGCAATCCGTATTTTATCCATTTGAATTAATTCACAGTATTCTATTACAGCAAATTCTTTGTAAAATTTTATTTGCAATCTTCTTTTCAAAAGAAATCATTGATAAACATTTCTTTTTTAAATATATTTCAATAACGGTAAAATTGTAGAATACACGTAGGAATTTTGTTGACATTGAAGTTTGTATTCTTTGGTAATACCTTACACAAACAAATAAGGGGAGGAGCGAAAATGCATGGGAAAATAACGACACGTAATAGAATTCCAATGAAGCATGTAAAATGTTTCCCCAATACATTCTTCCTCGGTTTGATCAAATCATAGGCTTTCTTAAATTTCTTTTAATGCAAAGAAAAATAAAACTATTCGTAAGATTTACACGTATTAAATACTGTAACCTGACTAAATTCCGCGTTTTTTATAATGGGTTTAAAGGTGTAAAGCAATGTTGCGTGAGTATTAAAAAAAAAAACCCCAAAATCGCACCCATTTACACCTTATGCATTTTTCAATAAATATATAAACAATGATTAGTTTATTTGAAACTGATGACCGTCAGTATAAAATATATGGTCATTCATAAATTAAATTTTTATTTACCAATGTATACTGTGTCCCATTCATAAAATATTGTTACCGCAAATAGTATACCATTGTTTGTCATAAAAGGGTATTCTATTATTTCACATTACAACACATTTTGAATTAGAATAGAACTTTGTTAAATTTAAGTGAAAATACTCCGAAACAGCGGTTGCATCCGATTAAAGACAGTGCAGACACTGTTTCGGAGGTTGACAAGTGAAAGGTTGAAACTGCATATCGACTATCTGACTTAAAATAGTTACTCTGTATAATGACTTATTGATTTGAATTTCGATCTTATTGATAAAAATTATAGTATGGTTTCAATTTTGAATTTTATTGTTACTTAAAATTTCAAGTTTGTTTACATAACAGTTATAAATCAATTATCTCTATACAGTCATTGTTTTTGTGAATGATTTTGCAAAACATTGAATCGTTAAAGGTCCTCTATAAAATAGTCAGTTTTTATCCATTTAAAAGTACGTCCAATCTTTTCTGTGTTTTTACCGATTGAACTTTACCGCGTGAACTTTACCGCGTCACTTTCCTTATTAAAGAAATATTTTTTTTAAATGTATGGTTTTAAAAGAAGACAGGTATTCGCGTAATCATATACTACTGATTGTTTTGGTTTTACATCAGGCATAGAGAAGTTCAGTTAGACAATGTTACGTGAATTTAAAAACCAAATTCATCGCGTGTCGCTAACATGTCTATTCAAACGTTTTATACAGGCCTCGCGTGTCACTAGAAATTCTTTAATATCAGTCCTTCGTTTTTGATTATTTATGCTATGCAGTTTTATTACACCTGTTTAGAGTGAATACCGAGGAGAGAAAAAAAACAGAAACGGAAGTACATTTAACTGCTACACGCGGGAAGTAAATTTTCGTCCTTTCCATTATTAAGTACGTGAAATACCATCGGTAGTATATGATGATTGGACGTCAGGTTAATCTAAGAATTCATGCTTTTAACAATACTTAATTAAATTCTTCATTTCGATAGAATTTTCAATGAGTATGAGAATGTGAGTAAAGAAAAACGCCATAACGACTGAGAGGGGGAACGCATGTGATCTTCAGAGCAAAACATGCAGAAAAATTTGGAAAAATTAGTCAGATGAGAAAGACAATGCTTGTAGAGGTTATTCGACCATCGCATACTATCTTGTGATTGGGAGAAAGACTATGCCTGGAGAGCTTATTCTACCATCACCTACTATCTTGTGATTGGGAGAAAATAAGTCTTTTATATATATAACCTGTTGTTACGTGTTAACTGATGTAACTTCGACGATGTAAAAATTAGCAATTCAAACTATTGAAAGATATATTTATTTTATTTAGAAATAATAATAGGAGCTCAATGTTTAATTTCTTAACTAGGACTTTGTATTCAAGAGCTTTAAACTCTGCACGAACTTTCTGTCACACTATTAAACACAAATTTCAACAGAATAAAAGTCCAGACTTGCATGACATCAGAGCAATTCAAAACAATAAGACAAGGTATCAGTATCGCAAGTGAAACCATAATGTGCCTGGTTCTCATCGTCAATGATCAGACCTTGTGTTAGATGGCATGATATGGGTCCATTTAAACCAATTATACAAGAACAAGCACCTGTTGCTGTGTCAATACACATACAGGAATTAGAACCGGTCTGTGTATCCTATACATGCAATATGTGTTATATTAGGGACGCGGAGATCAACAATTAATATATCACTTTAAATTAATATAGCTATTGGAAAGACACATGATAAGCATTCCCATGATAGCGAGCGCATTTTTTAAATATTCATTTTTAAACAAGTTTGTAAATATTGCGTTTTTGTATGTGATATTGATTTGACAGTTGTATATCTTTTTTCAATCATCCTTCTCGTTTTCATATTTCAAGGTATATAGTCATGGCCTGTGAATGGATATTAATTATTGTCTGACTGCAACATTTAAACCGGCAATTAGAACTGTTGTCCTTATGCATATCAAATAATTGTAACATTTAAACGAGTCTGTTCCTTGTTGCCCACACACCCATTACTAGCAACATAGAATATATCACGTTGATGTTTAACTGATATAATTGCGGCAGTGGTGAAAATTATGTTTTTATTGTAACGTAAGTAGGTATACGTCGGTTGTACATTACTAGTAACATAGAAGCCATCACGCTGATGTTGAACTAATATTACAGCGGCGGTGCTGAAACTTCTGTTTTCATTGTAACGTAAGTAGGTACACGCTCCGGATTTTAACCGTAATAATGGGCGATTTTAATGTGTAAACACCGTGTCGAATCATGTTTTATTGATGTTTGTCTTTATTTAACCAAACTCATTTTGAACATAGACAGAGTAATTTGTCAATGAAACGAATAGATTTAAACCGACACCAAAATCAATAAATTCTGACAACTTCTATTAACTGTTCCTCCAGTTACCTGAGTTTTATATATATATATATAAAGGTAACAGCCATCGACATCACATTAAAATCTTCAAAAGACTTAGTTATTTTATACCCGTTTCTATCTGCTGATTTCAGCAATATTGTTACACGATGACGTAAATCATAACGGGTAAAATTTGAATTTCAAATATTTGATGAAAATCGCAACATTATTAGTTTAGCACGGTCTATAATATGGTTGGTTTTCAATCGATATATCAGCAGCATATATGTATATTTCATTGGCCTTAAATTGGTGTGAGTTGTGGAAAATAAATTTAAAAACACAATTAGAATTGTTAGAGTATATAGCGAGTATTTATGTTCGCGATTCATGCGCGTATGCTTTTTTTAAAATATAAAATGAATTCATCTAGAACTGATTTCAAATTGATTTATAAAGTCATGTGTGACTAGTTATTCAATATAAATGTAATAATTGTTTTTTTTCTGAAATAGGAGACGGTGAATGGTTTCTATTTAATTATAGGTTTATGGCCTTCACTTATTAAATAAAGTTTATGTATTCCGTTCTATTTCATGTATTTGTTGGTCTATATACCTTATTATTTTTATTATTTTTAAAAGTTATAACCTAAGCTATGTCCTGTCAACTTAAAAAATTTGAATACATCTTCCTTTCAAAGTGTAACTATTACAAAATATGCTCAAAATTTAATTTTTCTTAACCATTTTATAAGTTCACAAAAAGTGATTTTGATTTAACACCTTTATATAGAATACCTATATTAACACTGATTTAAACGCTTTAGAGAGTAGAGTTTTGTTCCTGCATCACCGCAGCGTTTTAAATGGCAAATGCATTTTATTGTACCGATTGAATTAAATTTAATTTACAAATGCATTCAGACGATTAAGATTTAATTTAGCGTATCGTTCACTTTTGACTTTCAAATTTAATATCGCTGTTGTATTTCTATTTAATCTATAACTAATAAGCGTTTTCTGCAAACTGGCGTCTGACAAAAAAGCAAATATTAAGATAGTCAGGGACTTTCTATACTAACAACTTAATATAGACTGTCCCTGAGATAGTATAATTCAATAATGATAAGTCCTGTGTCAAACGTTCTTGCTCAATTGAGTTTTATCAAAGTCTGTGCCCCAACTAAATAATCCTTAGCACTAATTTGTTATCTAATTGATAATTAAATTACACCCTACCTTTAAAATAAAACTTCATTTTTTTCTTTCAATATCTTCAAGTCATGCTAATAAATCCGAGAAAACACATCATGATTTGCCCGTCACTATCATAGTCCCTGAGACGTTTAAATATATACAGGTAACATAACGGGATATATATATCGCTTTTATCTTTGAATTCAAAGTTTGCACCTGAAGATTTGAATGTCAACATAAGCTTTTTACTATAACCACGTGGTAACCTTTAACCCTCAAGATTTTATATAGATTTAAAACGTTACCTGAAATCGATTTATGTCAATCTAACGTTTGTCAATAGATCCGGACCACGCCCCGTAGCCAATTAAACACGCCCTAAACAAGGGATCACCCACAGAATGGGAAGCCCGTGGAGATATAAAGAAAAGAAGTTATATATACCATGGGTTTGTTTACCTATGTTCAACGAATGGAATTTCAATTAGTTTGTATTTTAGATTTGCATAAACCGTTAAGTGGATTCGAATTCTTATCGCCGATAATATGCAAAAATATTGAAAAATATACCGAAAATTATAAACTGTATTTTCGAACGTGATGCAACATGTCCTAATATTAAAATAGAAATTTGCATTGGTTTCAAGGATGTAGTGCAAGTGTCTAAACATAATATTATTGTTATTTGTATACGGTCTTTTTATCGCTTCAAAACGTCTCTTGCATGACAATATTATCTGATATAATTATACTGCATAAATATAAACATTCACTTAAGAATTGCATGCTTCTTTTTGTAAATTTATTGGGGTGTAAAAGCGGTGACCGAAGTACATTTTCTAAAAATGTGCGCACAGTAAGCGCTTTTACAACCCTATAAAATTACTAAAAGAAGCATTCAATACTTATAATTACATTATTTTGCTAGGATCATGAAAACACGATTTCTATCAAGTTTTTCTTCTATTTACCTGTGCACTTTATTGTGGAAGCTCGTGTCATCATGAATGTTACATTTCATTTTGAAATGAAAGTTAATTTCAGAATGATGCGAGATTGCTGTTAGCCAACCAAAATAACGTATTATAATGAAACATATTTGTAATTATTTCTGTTGATTGTTTCATAGGCAATCACACCACATCTCAGTATTTAAGATGTATAATGTGCAATACACCATATCTTCGTACACTGGTCTCGTAAGTGTGGTGTTACGTTAATTGCAAGTTGCTATACAACGAATTTATTCTGCTAATGACTGATGTCCAGCATTGTACATATTTACTCTTGTGGTCCTTCTATATTACGTAAATTTTGGCAAAGATTACCGTGCACATTTTACTAAAAGTCATAAGAAAATGTGGTATGATTGCCACTGATGACAAAACTATCCGCCAGAGACCAGAGACATGGGTGTGAACAGCTATGGGTCACTATATAGCCTTCAATAATGAGCAAAGCCCATACCGTATATATCATATGTTATTCGGGATCTTCACAGGGGATATGGGTTTATATTCCCTGTCAGTGTTTTATATCTCCTGAGCCGCCAGGGCTCATATATCCTGTCAAGGTAACCGATCCAATTGCAGGATTAGCCAGGATATTTCACTCCAGTATAATATACAAGGTTATAAAAGACCCCGACCTGACTGTTGTGAAACAATACAAAAGAAAAACTAACGACATAATCTATGCTAAAAACAACAAACGAAAAACAAATATGGCAAACAGCAACCAATAACAAACACTGAATAACAGTCTCTACTTTGGACAGACGCATTAAGAAAGTTTTGTTTCAGTTTGTTTCGTTTTTTTTTTGGCCAAAAAGACATGTCACCATACAACCTTCAGTTCGTGTTTTTTTTAGTTCAAAAATGACCTCGCAACATACAGCTCGTTTCTTTGCAAATGCAATTAAGGATTATTCATGTATCTCTTTAATGTTCTACTGCTTAATTTATTCATATTGCAGAACATATTAGAACGACAAGTTACTTTTCTTGTTGTCTTACATACTTTCTTCCTCATACATTTGCCTTTATTGCGAAATTTTGAAATAACATGAATATTTTACAAACGATTCGTGTGCGACTTCAAACACTTAATACCAAACAATATCTTAACCTTTCTATGTAGAAAGACAAAAAATATACACAAATACAAACGCAGCCTAATCTTGTTTTGCTTTTTACTGTTATTGTTATAAAAATTATAAGACAACTACAAGTTCGAATATGAATATTTTTAATTCCGTGTTTGAACGTAATGCCACAAGGTACTTGACGCGGAATCTTTTGTTGTAGCACCTTGATGGAATGTCTGATTACCACAAACAAGGTGACAATTACTAGTAAGCCGTTATGATAACACGACCTATAATTACCCAGGTAACTCGCACTTCCACAAGCTTTTTTCATTAAACATAGGTCTTTGCCATTTTGTAGATCGATTAAATCATTTTCATTAATAAATTTTAATTTGTTTTTAAATTTTTGAATGAGTCGAAGAGCCCATGCCATAAACTATAGACGAGAAAAGTGACTATATTTGCAATTTATTTTTTGTAGCTTTTAGACATCGGAACAAGATATTACCTTATAAACTCTATCGATTGAATGATAAAAGGGTTTATTCTACCTATTCCAACAAATTGGATTCAAAAGATAAAAATTGGTATCAACAAGCTATGAAAAAGTTCTCTTATTTTGAATGATTTGTCTAGCTACAGTAAACCATCCATGCCCATTTTGAAAAACCAGAGTGCATCCTAGTAGACTTGAATAGGGCTACAGTTAACCCGCTGATGAACATCTCAACAAGTGTACCTATATATAAAAGTACGAAGGAAGTTTTACAGGAAGACATGTTGATCAACTATACATCAGCAAAATGAGACCCCTCCTGTGAAAATGTTCGACTTGTTTTGTTTAACTGACAGAATATCATAAATGCGCAGTGGATATGTGCATTTAGTTGATGGTGTGTGCAAAATGCACAAAGGGTTTATAAATCCACCTTTGTTTTCGTTTTTGGCGTGGCGTTCTCAGTTTGTCTTCTGACTGCGAGATTGGAACATCCCTTTGGTATCTTCCGTCCTTTTTCCTTTACCTTTCTGTCTTTCCTTCATTATATATGATGTCCAAACCCGACAACTTTATTATTTTTCGGAACAACTGATAGAATAAGACTCCGAATTTTACCTATACTCTTGTAATATGTATACTTAACTGCCATTCTGGTGCCAACTGAATCAGAATTCAAAGATTCAAACCACGACCGTAAACTGAAAAAATGGGCTTCGGAATTTAACCTATTCTTTCTTTACCACATTTGTATTCTTGTTTAATTGAATTATTTTATATGAGGTCTATTAAGGGTTATTTTATACATATAGTGTTAACACTACATAAAGATAAGTGGTTGAGTTACACCTGCCAGAAATACTTTACAAGCTGATGAAAAGTTAATTCACAATTTATATGCAGAAGTAAAAAGACGCCGGAACGTGATATAGTACGTGCGTGGAGAAACATAATCACGTTCGGACGAGTGTTTGGCTCGCGACTTCAATACATTTAATTTTTAATAAATACTAATGAATAATTGTCATTAGAGATTTTAGTTTTTATTTAACGGTTTCTATAAAGAACCATTTAAAAACAGCAAAATAAGTGCTAAGAAGAATATCTCGTTTCTATTTATTTGATATCGCATACGTGAAAATGCAGGTTTTATGTGTTTTTTCCGTCCGTTATTATTCAAATTTATAACACTATATTGTTAAACAACTTAAATTTCTTCCTGGTTATGATGCTTGCATGGATGCCATGACATGATGGGATCAAGTTTTATGAACTTCACGGAGGCGTCCTTGAAAGAGTCTAGTCTGGTCGATTCTAAATAAGAAAATATCTGTTGTAGTAAAACGGGTACCGTTTTTATTTACATGTAATTGCAACGGTTACCAGTGATGAGCGTTAAATATCAGCCGCGGGTCACACTTTGAAAATTATGTCGAGCCAAAAGAGCCGTCATACTATATCGAGAGACTGCATGATATTTTAATAAATATCAATAACATTAACGGTATAGACAATAAGCTAACTAAAATTCAAAACCTAGTACACACCTTAAAATCTGATAAAACCAAAAAAGGACATAAAGTATAGCTAAATCTGGAAAGGAATCCGATCTTTGCACAAGGAAGATATACCGGGTATTCTGTACTTTAAAATGATTTCCAAAATCGTACTAACAAAAAGGCGAAAGATTGAAAATCTGTTCATCGTATTAATTCTAAATTTTTCTTTCTTGATACAAATTTTTTTTTTTCAAAGTTGTGAATAGAACTTGTCGTGTTGTCATCAAGAAAGTCGGCTAAGACCGTCGTGACGTCGCAGAATACGTTATCCTTATTCAAAATTGAAATCATCGGGGTCAAATTATATACTACGTTATAAGTTGCAATGTTAGATTTTCCTTAGAGCTAAGCACAAACGGATCTACGATCTATAGTTTTGTCAGAATCCCGTATCCCGCTTATCATTGTAATAATAGCGCTTGAAATTTCACGTGTCCCGCCCGACTTCGTTTCCCGTTTTCACACAAAATAATTTGACTATCACGTTTCACGCGTACAAAAATTCGGATAATGCCGGATCACGCTTACACCCCAATGAGACCCACTCATCAGGGAAGAGCTATCCACTTAATTCATTAATTTATCCTTTCCTTTTACAGCACCCTTTTCTCACAAAAACATATCACGTTTATTTAAAATACGCGAGAGCATTTCCAAATTTAGTTTTCACTTCAACAGTTTTTTCGCCAATCATTCTATTTTCCATAAAGTAATAAAAAAACTGCTGATCTAACAAATTCCGTATAAAATTATACATGATAAATCCATACCTATTTACTCTGTTCTGTTCTGTTCTTTCCGTATCATTCTGTATATGGAGAATTACCATAAAATAAAATAAATTGAAAAACAAATTAAAGGATTAGTTTTCCTTTCGTAACATGACTCAACCTGATTTATAATATAATCGGTTGATTTTAAGATCAATCCGAAGATAATGAAAGCGATCAGACGACAAAATACCCGGATATACAAAAGCTAGTTAATGGTTGCTTTCTCCAGGCGACGGTGTTTTTACATCATGCTGGGAGGGTACAAATTGTTTGTTTGTAAACATACATTTTTTATCGTGTGTTAATTAACTTATTATTA